TGAGGCATCTCATTGCCCTGCCCTCCCCCTTGCTTGAGTGAAGCGAGTCGCTGAGAAGCTTCCGAGGCAGTAGTTACTTCCGGGTGCAACAACTGCCGAGAGCTTGAATAATCGAGCGAAGGAGTGTTGAAGGCAGGACGTTTCAGAATGAGTAGGTTCGACATGGTACCCCGGCTGTGAACAAAACCCCAAAGTAGTAGCCTCTGGTAAACCCTAAAGCCTAAACAGTCGAAGCCCCAAAACCCCAAACCCCAAAATCCGAAAACCTTAAAACCCTAATCTCGAAAGCCCTAAAACCCTAAAACCCCTAAGACCCTAAACCGCTAAGCCTTAACCCCGCAAGCCCGGCCATGCGAGGTTTCAGCTGCTGACCGACGAGCCGAGGTGCAGCCCTCGATTCACCTTTTCCTGCTGTTGTTGGTGGGTTTTAAGGGCTTTGGGGTGTAGGGCTTAGGGTTTAGGGTTTAGGGTTTTAGGGCTTTGGGGTGTGGGCTTTAGGGGTTTAGGGTTGTGAGCTTGGGTCTGGGCCGGTCTCACGCGTCGCTGGCCTTCTGCGCGGCGTGCTCAATCTCACATCCGCGTATTGCGCGTTTGCAAGTTCCGCATGTGGGCCCCAAAATCTCCGTGCTCCGTAGAGGTTCTGCGCAGTCTCCTCTGAAGTTTGCTTTGTGTGAGCAGTTTCCCGCAATTGCCTTGGTTTGTCCGTGCGATCAGTCCGTTTCCGTAGAAGTCCGCAGTAAACGCGAAACCCCGAACCCCCCAGGCCTGAACCCTAAGCCCTAAACTGTGGGAGCCCGGAAGATGGCAGGCTGGACTGAGGAGTCAGGCGGAGGAGAAGGCCCAAGCCAGCTATGGGAGCAGGGAAGCAGAAATAGGAAGTTTTGTTTCTTTCGGGGGACGCATTTCCTGATGTGACCGGCGTCTTTCTGAGTGAGCTGCAGCCTCTGACAGCCACTGTCGCAATGATCTCTCTCTCTCTCTCTCTCTCTCTCTCTCTCTTCGCTGCAGTACTCTTCGGTCGGGCTCCCTAAACACTAAACCCTGGACCCTAAACCCTAGACCTCCTAGACCCTGAACCCTAAAGCCTAGACCTCCTAGACCGTGAGCTGCAAGCCCTAGACCCTCCTAGACCCTGAACCCGTGTTTTGGTCTCGCCAGGCCAGGATCCAGCACGAACTGGCGACGGCCATGGAGGCGCTGCCGGGCCGGTTTAGGGTTTAGGGTTTAGGGTAAAGCTTTGCAGGCCTCGAGTTTTGTGTTTCTTGTGTTTCTGACACTCCGACCCTTCTGTGGCTTTTGGATCTTTTTTTTATGCAGTCGGCCAGCCCAGCATCCTTTTTAGGGTTAAGGGTCCGGGGCATCTCCAACTCGGCAACACAGCTTCCCCAGGCCAGATCCCAAATGCCCCAAAGCACCTCAGCACCCAAGAGAAGAGGAGCCCCCATTCTCCTGCACTCCAAGAGTCGAAGCTTGAACCCCAACTGCTCAAGCTTCCCGGGCGCGCTGGAATGACTCAAGCCCCCCGCCCCTTTCCTCTCGCAGGATCAAGACGTAGAAGGCATTCTTGGTGCCGGTTCCTCATTCAGCTTCCGCAAGGACTTGTTCTTGTCAACGGACCCTGGAGTGCTGCGATAGGCCCAATCATAAATCGAGGCACACTACATGTAGCAGCCTATTGCTTGAGGGCTTTGCCCGCTTTTCGGTTGGCGTGTTTAGCTCGGCCTTGGGGCGGCAGCAGCCTCCACAGCTTGAGGCTGCAGTCAGAACCTTAGCGAATCTATTGCCCCACAGATCTCCTCAAACCACGAGGGCAATGCAAAGCCCAAGACCCCCGAAGGTTTGTAGCTTTTTGCCCTGGATATGTCAAGACAGCAGCATGGCATGTACCTTAAACCTTAAACCCTAACCTAAACCCTCAGTTGAGGCATTTCGACCGGCTCTTAACCTGGGCGTGGACAGAAAGGACGGGCATCTCGAATGGGTGGACGATGGGACTGCGCCGGCTCTGCTTTCGAGCCCAGGGCTTCAGCGGTTTTTAAGTGCCAAGGGACCTTCAGAACTTTGGTTCATGCATGAGCGGTCATGTGACTGGGGACGCCAGCCCCGTTCCAAGCAAAGCTGCCACCTGATGCAGGAGCTGGATGCTGCTTTTCGCATTGTGAAATTTCAGGCGGCTGTTCATGCACATGTGCGACTTCAGAGGTTCTCCGAAGCTCATAGGCTGTATCTGAGAACAGCTTGATCGTGTGTCATGTAGGTGCATTCCATCAAAACTGTCCATGGATGGGATCCGCTGCCAGATGAGATCCATGAACTTCCTGCTTATGGCGTACCGTTTATGTAACATAGGTATGTAGGTTTTTGGGAAGGAGGATCGAAGCGCAGAAAGCAGGGAGGGAGACAGTGGCTGCGCAAGAAACGGATGTTGGATTCATGCCTACGAGATTGATGTGTTCGCCATTGAAGGCACACTCTGAGTTTGTCTCCGAAGTGGGAGCGATGCGCAGACTCCTGAGCAAGTCACATGTGGCTGGGGCTACAGGCCGGCAGGATCGCCGACGGCCCCAAAGAAGTAAGCCAGCCAATGCACACGAAATGCCCTGGATAGACCTTCGACTGAGGTGGGCTGTGGGTTGAGCTTATCTCCCTGAGGTTCTGAACTCCATTTTTTTCAACGTAAACTAACTTGGTTCAACATTGAGAAAGCCTTGTGAGCGTTGCGCATTCAGTTTCCCACTGAGCATTCAGAAGCCTTCAAGGGCCAAGCATCCACAGTAGCCAAACTTTGGAGTGAGGGTTGTGTTCTCGGTCAAGGCTTCTGCCTTCGATGCTGCAATTCTTCACAAACCGGTTGCCCCTTGCCCTGAGTCAAAGTGCAAATCTTGCGCCATCAAGACAACAGCAGCAGCCCAACATGTGCATGTGGTGGTTTCTTCATCGCACAGCTTCTTGTAGTCAGCGTGTCCGCAGGAGCAGCTGATAGACAGATGAGACTATGCTGTACTATCCATGGCATCATCTATGCAGAGGCAGAGCACTGCAAGCCCCCCAGGCGAGATGTTGTCCGATCTGGCGTCATCTATTGAGAACCTGCAGGCGGAGGGTGGTGTACCTAAGCCCTAAATCACAGCGATTGGGAACTTGAGGTCTTTTGGTCTTGTCTGTGGAAGCTTGAACTTGGGTGAGCTGAAATCTGCTTGAGCCTGCCAAAAGCGAAAGGTTTGAGCCTGCGTCCAAGCTGATTCTGAACTGGTGTTTTCGATATGAGACACTGCATTTTCCTTTCTGGTACAGTCGGTGCTAATGCACACTTCCTGTTGGTTGTTGCAATAAAAAACTCTCCTGGGCTTCCGGATCTCCAGCTGCAACTCTTAAGCCCTATCCTAAGCCGTATGCGTTCCCCATGGGCACTGTGAAGCTGGAGGTGCAGCTCTTGGAGCAAACCCAGAAGAAGGCCAGGCTGCTTCGGGATGCTCGCAGTCTTTTGTCTTTCTGGAAGTGAGGGAAGGCTGTGCAGGTGTGCCTTCTGTTGTGTCTCGCGGCTTTGATTTCAACACATTGGAAGCTCTGATTCAACAGTGTGCTGATAAGGTTGAGTACTTGGGCGAGCGTATGGTGGCACGCGTGCCGCACCCTTGGCATCTTTCTTCTCTTTCCGCGGTGCCAGCTGGTGGACATTCGACAGAAGTATCTATGTAGCTCCTGAGCACAGGGTTTGGATCTGTGCAGAGCGGTGATACCATCTCCTTCCGTGAGCTTGCCACAGTTGCTCCGGCCTCGTTTTCAGCGCCTGCGAATTTTCAGGATGGACATTCTCAACACCAAAATTGAAGAAGTGGCAGCCGGTGGCATGGATGCACAAGGGAGCTGCCTTTTTGTGTGAGCTTGGCCCGGCATAAACGGACACCTTCAAAATCCTGGAAAGCTAGCTGATCGACAGACTCGCGGAACACCGTCTTTGGTGGCAAGCATGCCTGGCTCTTGTAGGCACTGGCATCGCCATGCGAGCCACCCATGCGCCGCAGGCGCCGGACCCTAAACCCTATAAGCCCTAAGCTGTGTGGCCAACATGTCGGAGGACCCGAACATCGGCTCCAAGGGTGCCATCCAGGCCGGATCAGTACGAGGGCAGTCTTCGAAGCTCCTGCCTCGTCAAGATGCTATGTGTCCGAGACTCGAGTTTTCGTTTTAAAATCCCGCCTGCGTTCTCATCCTTTGTGAGATTTTTGCAGCCATCGCCATTATCCATGGACAGGAGCCTGCTGGAGCTCACCAGCACGCCCAGGCCTCCCGTGCTCGAGCTTGGCTTGTAGAGTACAACATGGGCGAGGGTGCAGCGCAACAGCAGGTTTTTGGTGGTTTATGCAAGTTGAGACTTCGGACGGCCGGTCCTTGCTTCGGATGCATAGCGAAGGCCTCTCAAAAACAGGCGGTTTGCACCCTGCAATATTTTTGGTGTGTCACGAGGCACTTCCTTGTGCATGTGGCATGGCATCACGCAAAATTTGGAAGAAGAGTGAACGGTGGCATCGCCAGCGATGTAGCCCGATAGATAGGTAGATATAACAGGCAACATCGTGTGGATATATAGATATCTATCTATATTTCTATATATATATATATATAATATGGGTTTAGGCAGATAGACCTGAAAATTACACAGGTGGACCGGTAGAGTGGCAGACGATGGATATATGGACAGCAAAGCCTGCAGTTTTACAGTACATATCGCGCACTCGTGCGTTTGAGCTACCCTTGTGTAAACGAATCGTCGCACCTTGTACCATTTTCTGACAGTGCACAGCTTGCAGTGCGCTTCGGCAATGTTCTTGCAGATCCTTGCACATTGCATGGAGCAATGCAGTAGGTTCCAACCCTCAGGAGACAAGTCCAGAGGCGGATCACACACCGAAGCTGTCGATTCGTGAGAAGGCCGCAAGCTCAGCGGCATCCTTGCTTAACCCTGGATCTGACCCTGTGCTGAAGCACGTGCAGACTCCATGACTTCCTGTTCCGGCCAGCGCTTTGCGTTCGAATATCAGCCATCCTTCGTGTGTTTTCCCCTTGAACAGTTCGGCCTCGGGGACTCCAAGTACGACGGGAAGATCGAACTGCTAGATGGAGAAGACGGAGCAGAAGCCAAGTACACGAAAGCGCTGGAGATCTCCGGAGGAGAAGAAAAGCTGAGAAGCTTTCAGGACTTCAGCGCCTTGGCTCTAGTGAGATGCATGCTCCGATATCTGCAAAGCTTTTATGATTGTCCAAGTCTTACGTCCCCCTCCTGCCAGGTAAAGAGCTGCAGAGGAAGCATGGCCTCCACGAGGAGCAGAAAGGCATCATTGAAGCCGGCGAGCGCGCCGCACGTAGCGTCAAGGCCACGGCGGGCTGGTGGGACTGCATCGTGGCTCGTGATGACAAGCTAAATTGCCTTGGTCGGGGCATGCGCCAGGTAAATTTTCAGCCGTTCTTTCCAACGTTGGATGAGCTCTTTGAGTTTGCGCACAAGCACAAGCACCATTTCTTCGACCTTGTGGACAGGGTCGCGACAGCCACCCATGGTACCTGTGCAAAGCCGCCGCTGAAAGGCAAAGAACGCTGCTCGATTGTGAGAGTGTTGTTCTTGCCGGTTTCCCGCTTATCCGAATTTTTCAAGTCCTAGATATCAAATACGTCTGCAAGAAGCTGAGGCTGCGAGTCAAAGGCAAGGTTTAAGTACATGGACGCGGCCGGAAACATTGAATGGCGCTGCTGGCTTGTTCTGAGAGCATGGTGTTATCTTGCAGTCATGTGTGTGGGTAAGGAATAAGAGGTGGGGGAAGCACCCCCAGACGCTTGCCGTTCACCGTTCTCTTCATGTCTTCTAGGACTGACGGCGAACCATGCTTCTCATTCTCATTGCTCTTTCTCTTTTGAGCACGGCCGGGCTTTCGATCTTGCAGGCTGAGCTGCTGGATGGAATTCTCAGAGTGCAGATGAGGATCCCGAGATAGAAGCCACACTTAGAGGGGCCGAGTCGCTCCCGGCATATTTTCCTTGGTTTGAAGGGCAACGAAATCACGCAAGTGTGGCGTCTCCAGGGCATGCAAGGTTTGTCTCCTGCACTGTGTGCGGTGTTTGAAGGTACGCTGCAGAAAACTGAGGGCAGGAGAACTGGCCTTGAACACAGGATAGCTGGTGTCGAGAACGAAAGTTGCCTTGGGCAGACCACTGGTTAGGAGCAACTTGGTTTTGGAAAAAGTAGCTTGATGGTATCCCGCGGCGCAGGGCTTTGCGAGTGCAGTGCATCGTATACAATTTTGCACGGTGACTGTGCCCAGGAGATTTGCAAAAGCACACCCAGAAACCCGGTGCCAGATTGATTGCAATTGGAAAGTCACGGTTAGTTAAGTCCGGTGGAGTAGAGTCTTCGAAGAAGAGGAGGACCGCGACCAGACTTACAAGTTGATGGATTTAGGTTCTTTTTGATCGAAGCCAGGCACAGACTTACTGACATCGTTCGAGACACGCTCAGCTACGAGAACTTGGAAGATATGTACGATGGACTGAAGCTGATCGACGAGGACGCACGGCTGCAGCGTGGTCGACGGACTGCGCAGTGGCAGGACAAGGCATGCAAAGGCACATGTTGCGGCTGACGAGGACAAAAACGTTGAAATCGTGGAGTTTAACGACCGGCCACGAGCCCAGTAGCTCCATAGACGTGTTTATCAGCCCCTGTCTCTAAAGGGCTGTGGGGAAGGTATCAGACTCCATTGGATGGCGGATACCGCGACCTCCAGCTTACGCTTCGAGTGCAAGGCATCCTACCCGCCTTCAGCAATCGTTCTTAATCCTAAGCTTTGGTGTGTTAACTTCGGCAGCAGTGGATGGGATTTCGCCCCAGGTGAGTTGGTCTGCGAGCTGCAGCTTACAACAAAGTACATGCTCTTCATTAAGGCCAATGCACCCAGACTGTTGTTGCCAAGCTAGTGGTGACATTGCGTGGTTCTTTCTGTGCCAGGAGTCGAGTGGACACAGGGTGTTCGAGGTCAAACGACAGCTCATCGCAGATGTAGCTGCCAACAGCGAGCTGGGGTGTCGGAAAACACTCCTCTGGGCTGGAAAGGACGCTGAGGCAGTTCTGATTGTCACAGTGCAACAAGTATTGCTAATTCTGCGACCATTAAGTGAGCAAGCGCTGTAATCCTGGCCTTTTCGTTGCTGTTGATATCCCTGACTACCAGCACCACCGTTGCCATTGCGAAGACTCCTATTTTCATTGAGTGATCCCAACCAGGAACTCTCTCCAAGCCTTTAGGAGATGTAGTTCGATGGTTCGATGATGAAGACGAGCCTTCTGAATTGTGGCCTGGAGCCGTCTAGACTGGACTGCATCCCGGACAGGCTGTGCTGCAGGAGAAGAAGAAGCCCATGCTCCACATAGCAGCTTCGCAGGGCAACTCCCGCATGGTGCATCCCGGCTTGTTGGAGTTGTCACCAGGTATGGTCTGCTACAAGGGGTGTCCTTGCCAATTGATCAAGTTGCACAAAGTTTTTTCAAACAAGTGGTTACGTCAGGATACATGCAGGTCTGTGTGTGTCGATACCAATAACATTGACATATCAAGCAACAGCGGGGATCATTGCGCTCGCTTCGTCGGGCCTGAAGCCTTTTTGCAGCTCCACACCTCTTGCTGAGGCAGCTCTTCCTTGAGCACAGGGCGGATGTAAACCTTGAGGAAAAGACTACTCGGCGAACGGCCCTGCACGAGGCCCTGACGAAGGGGCTGCATACACGGCTCCTCGACGGGCTTTTGTCCTGCTCTTCACAGGCGATGGCCAAGGGGCACGCTTGTGCAGCGTGGGCCCTGATCTCGGCGGGTGCGAAGCAAGACGTCCAGGATGCAGACGGGCAGACGCCACTCTTGCTCGGAGACTTCTCTGCAATGATTCTTCAGGGCCTAGTAACGGAATCTTAAACTGCCCATGCCCTGACAATCAAATCGACTAAGCAGGCCCTCTTTCTGTGAGGTTCAGGGGCGGCTAGAATGGAGCCATGATGATCTGTTGCGTACCTGCTGCGCTCGTCTGTTCCGAACTTAGGGTATGTGCAGGTATGGCATGGCGTTATGATGTCCTGGAAAGCCAGGATGCTCGGGAGCGTTGGGCGTTCCTAGACAGAAACCTTTATGGCAACGACGCATGAACTGGCAGGAACCCATGGAAATTCCAGACCCTAAAACCACTTGGTTCCATGTACCTCTTGCCTCTTAAGGACTCTTGCGCCAGCGCGTGTACCCCGAGAACGAGGCTGTGGCGAGGCGGGCCTCGAAGCTTTCGAAGTCAACTCCCCAGTAGAACAGAGACCGTCAAAAGTGGGAGCGATCGTTCAACCGTATTTCCCGCTTAACTCCAAAAGAAACAGTCGGCTCTTCAAGCTCAGCTTCCCCAAGATAAACTGCATCACTTCGGGCAGGTGCGTCTCCATTTTGTCACAGAGGTTGGGCTTGAAGGACGGGCATCATGTCAAGATACCAGCATCTCTGGACCTGCACCTTCAGGCCTTCAGGGCTTCTGTAGCCATGGCCACAGGAGCTGCGGCACGCCAAGGAGCAGTTCAGCAAGGTGGTCAAGAAACGCCTGAAGAACAGCTCGGAGCTCGTCAGTGCGTTTACCTCTCAGTTGCTCCGCAGTTGCTCCGCCGTGACTGTGTTGCAGAT